ATGTCGGTTTTGCTCTATCTAGTCAGGAAATAGAAATGAAACCACTAATTGCGAGGTTCTGAATGATGCTTTAATATAAAATATCTTACATTAACATGATATTTTATGTCAAGTTTTTCTCTATTGTTCGGTGTTTATGTGGGACAAAATGGATTGTATTTTGTGATATAAATACGTTAGTTATATATTATGTAACAATTACTTATTTAGGTTATTTGGTAAATTATCTGGTTACATACACATAATGAATATTTTACATTGCACATTTTAGCAATATAATTTTATTGTATTAATACAGTTAATGAGTTAGAAAGTTATATATTTTTCAAAAATAATGTTGCATTGTTTGGAACTAACAATATAACTGATTCTTTATTGGTGTGCTGATTGGGTTTATGTATGTTTACATGTCGAAACGTCAATAAATTGTGTAAAATAGTATTTTATTTTAATCCATTTTACACCATATTAGCACGGCATATAAATCACACGGCAAACTCTGCCCAAATTCCATTGTTAAAATTTCTATAAAATTTGACCTTGAAAACACCATTATGGGTGCCGAGTCAGGGCCGGATTAAAACGTATCAAAAAATTTCCCAGAAAATAAAATATTGATAGACAGGGTCGAATTAAAAAAATACTGTAATTGACTGAAACTGAATTTTATTTACACAATACTTTTATCTTTATAAACTAATAAATAAAATCAATTAAACATTTAACTGTAGAGAATAGAGAATTAAAATTAAAAAACATGCCAGGAGTGCCAGGAGTTACAAACAAGAATGAAAGAAATACCCAATAAAATATCTGTTGAGCAATATAAAGAGGCTACGTACAAATTATGTCCATCAATGGACGTAGCAAATTCTATTAATATTCAAATTTCGCTAATTAACAAATCAGCTAAAGGAAGAAACTGATGAACTTAAATATAAATGTCTGGCGATATACTTTTCCCGGCCAAAAATATACAAGACGCTCTTGACAAATCTATTTTGCCTTACACGTCCGGAGACCCAGAGACACTAAGAAAATGAATATATGACATCGATATCAAACCTGGCTTAGAAAATCTTAGTGTATTTGAGACTCTAAAAAGCAAAGCAAAGCATGACTCGAATTTTTGACAGCTGTCAAAAAAAAATCAAAGTTGTCCGATTTCGATCATAAAAATCGATATATAGGATGGTCATGGGCTAAAATGAAAGAAAAAAATTGAGCTGTCAAATATGACAGCTGTCACAAAAAATTCAAAGTTGTCCGATTTTGATAAAAACCTATATATAGGATGGCCATGGGTTAAAATGAAAGAAAAAAAATTGAGCTGTCAAATTTGACAGCTGTGAAAAAAATCTCATAGTTGTCCGATTTTGATAAAAATCGATATATTGGATGCTCCCTATCCCATAGTCGGTTTTCATTTTATTTGTCTCACATTTGAACTGTCAAATTTGACAGCTGTCGTTTTTTTTTAAGTTCTCCTTTTTTAATAAAAATCGATATACATATCATTAGGATGCCCATAGGAAGTTATTTAAGAAAAAGAATTGAGTTTAAGTGTGTGGCACTGAGAAACCAGCATAACTAAAAAGTAAAAAATAAATTTAAGAAAAAAAAAACTAAAAAAAAATACATTACAAAGAAAAAAATAAACTTTTATTATGAACTTCATTACAGAATTTTATATTATATAAAAGCTTTTCGCGAGATTTGAGTGTACAGTTGCACTCATAAAAATCTGGTACCACAACTTTATCTTGTAATTCTTGTAATTCCAATATCTTGTAAACATATTATTATTCCCATCCAGGATAAATTCATCCAGTTTAGAAGAACATTTAAAAACTTTGTGTCCGAATATTACACACGGGTACTGAAAATTGCCAAAATGATCTGGCAAACATCTTATTAAAAACGGCAAACCTTATTATAAAAAACAACGAGACCTCTGTTCTTTTCTCTCTGAATTGTCATGAGCTATCCATAAAGATTACAAATAGTTACGGACAATCAGAAAAACAGTAATTTAGAAATGAATCTTGTTTGTCATTTTGCAGGATACCTAATAATAAAAATTACTTTGAGGGAGGCAATGATTGAGTATTAAAACTAAAAGAATTTCGGACTTCCATTGTACTACTAAACTACAAAAACCAAATATATCACACAATAAACAAAAATAAAAAAACAAAATATATCACTCAAGAAAAGAATGAAATAAATTAAGCCGCATGCTACTGACTCAAAGCTGCCGTAACTGTATGATGTCGATGACAAAGACTACGACACTGGTTAATTTCTGTTGTTGGCACCCATAATGGCGGCGTGCGCAAGAATATGCGCATAGCGTTCCCGCCAAAGCGAGTTGGCCTGCCGTGTGATTTATATGCCGTGATATTAGCGTGCGTTCAATACATTTAATTCTTTTTTTCATGTTAATTATTCCTGTATCTTTACGGCTATCAATGTTTGCAGTAATTGTTGCATTTACATCATTTACAAAAAACATCATTTTATAAAAAAGGTTAAAGAGTTATAATTTTTTTAAATTGTTTGACGTACTTCGAATAGATTTAGTTTTAAGTCAATAAATGTTTTTGATGACATTATTTTAAAAAATGTGTATTAACTATGAGCGCATATTTGAAGTGAAACTTCTTAGTAATTTAATTTAATTCTTTCTTACGAATTAAATAGGAGGATTTGAAAGACATGTTTGAAAAAGTGTAGTTTGAAATGTTGAAAAAATAATAAATTAAAATTTAATAAATAATTTGATTTACTGTCACAAAATTTGTATTAAATTTGTCCGTCTGGGGACTTCATTTTGGTACCTCTATCTAAGTGCCGAGTTTGGTTCCCAACAACCAATAATTAAGGAAAATTCCCATGATTTCGTCCACTTAGAGACATCTATTCGAAACTTGGAGGGCGTCATCCTATAACCCGTTCCCAATTATGCTGAAATCGACCCACATTTTTCATCAATATTAAATAGTTAGTCCCATCCTGATCAAGATGTAAACGAAACGTCGCGTCGTATCCAACTTTGCAGGATGGGATTGTGTACATCATCGCTCACATAGCCCACCCATGATACAAAGAATACAAGGTATGATATTGCGCAGGTTAGGCACTACGTCACAGGTGATAAACCGCACCATTGGTCGGCAAGCTCCGCGCGCCCGCGCCGATCTCAAATAATTGTAAAACAGATGACATAATAAATTTGAAAATAATTTTTCAAATGTCAAGCTCGATGATTTGACATAACTTTTATGGTTATGTCCTAATTCTTCCCTATTTTAGGTCATTTTTTATTAGTGGCAATTGAACAATATGGATACTTTTTTGATTGGCGTATGATGTCACAGGTGGTATGCGCAAATTGAACAAAATTGGAGCCGCTATCGATCATACCTTGTTTTCTTTGTACTATTTAGCCCACCCACCAATTTTAGTCGCGATCGGACGACATTAAGGTTTGACGTTTCCTACGTCAAAACTAATTGTCACAGTGACACGTGTCGTATACGGTTAAGCTAGCCTTGGTTCTTGGTCATTTAAATCGGACGATTTTTTCCACTTTGCTCTCGTGTGTCGTGTGTCGTGTCATGGCTATGAATTTTTACTCCCAGCACGCGTAAGAAAATTTCACTTCAAAAAATAATACTTACTTCACGAGTTATTTAATCACTCGCTACTACTAGCTAATTACTACTAATAAATTAATATGATAAACCAATTTATTTTTTGGTTATCGGAAAAACAAATTCGTAAAAATTAATCCACTCAATAGAGAGCGTGACATGACAGGCATCCATAACGCCGTGTTAATAGATATTTAATACTATTCGCATTCTGTTCAGAATCACGTTTGTGGCCGGCAATGTCGTGGCAAAATTGCGTGCAATGAAACCATAAACGCTATTTGCCCAGTTCTGTTCGATTATCGTGACGAATATTTGGACTACATAAAGTCATCGCCATAATGACTAATAAAATCAGAGTATTATTTTAATAATTATTATTTAATTATTCCACTATTCTTTGAAGTTCTTTGGTCAGATTTTAGTTTTATCTTTCGTCAATATTCTCTACCTGAAGTATATCCCAGACATTAAGTTATAACATATTATGCTTGTAGAATGTAGAATGTTTAGGAGGGGAGTTAATCACCGCGACCTTACAAATCTATTGTTTGTTCCCCTTTCCTCAGTTATAACGAGTTATAACTCATCATACAGTCGCAGGACTTTAACAAAAGCCAGTATCTCAGACGGCTCCAAAGAGGCCAGCTCTCTATCCTCGACATCAGCCGTACCAAAGTTCATGGCACGAATAGTCGTCGTCTCGGCGCACTTTCCCCACAAAATCTGCATTCGCCGTTGTTTCTCAGCTTCAGCCTACTGAGGTGTTCGTTGAGGAGACAGCGTCCTGTTAGAAACCCCGTGACAATCCGAAGATTGTTTTTACTTAAATCAAGGAAAACCTTTAATTTTTCTCGGTCGTAAGTTCTGAGGAAGTTTTTTGAGTGTCTATTCCAAGTTATGGATGGAGTCTTCCAGATTCTTCAGTTCCGCTTTCAGTTGGTTCGCGTTAGGAAAACAGAACGGTTCTGGTCCAGTTAGTGGAGTATTCGCTCCTTTTCTAGCTAGATCATTTGCTTTTTAATTGCCTTCTATCCCTTGGTGAGCAGGCACCCAGAGTAGGAGGACTTTATTTTCTTTGCCCACTTTGTTGAGCTTCTCTAGGCATTCTTTGCCCAACTTTGAATTGATTGTTACTGAGTTGATCGCGTTTAGTGCTGTTTGACTATCGGATAGGATTTAAACATTATAGACGAATTTAACCATTTTAGAATAAGCAAATTTTTTTATGAATAATGCATTTTTCTCGAAATATCAATAATAAAAAATGTTTTCCCCTTGCAAAGACAATCAGGGGACATACTGTATGATACAGGTCAAGAAAATTACAAAAAAAACACTTACCGATGGAGAGGTCAAAGTGAGTATAGCGGCGTTCAAGTTCTTCAAATTCAGTGTGTTCTTGTCCTCTTCGTCTTCCATAGCCACCTGGATCGATCCCTGTCGTCTTGTCAAACTACGGCTCAGCCGAGGTCTGCTGGCGCCGCCACTGCCACCTTGGCTGCTTTCACCTCGAAAACTTTGAAAGGGGCAAGCCATGGTCGGTTGGCTCACCGTTTAATTGGGGGTCGAGTTCAAATGCTACGGACGCGGAGTTGAACTTAAGTGGTTGGTAATATCTGTTACATTTTCTTTAACCTGAAAACAGATACATTTATTGAAATTTGTACATATATTGTAGAGCAGAAAATCGCAACCTGCAATTTAATTGCAGTGATTGTAAATTCACAATCGCAACTTGCGATCACATTTAACATTACTAAGCTTTATCTTCGTGGCAGTTGTTGGTTGCGTCCTTCTTCATCTGCAACAGTTTGAAGACTTTTAAGACTCTCCTTGGACAGGTGGTATCGAAGGCATTGTTCTTTTTATTATAAATTGGTCTATGTCGTCTACGTTTATACGCTGTTCTCAAATATCATGTTTTTAATTTTTTTCTTAAAATTTTTATAATCTTATTGTGTTAGTTTTTTTGGCAACATATTATATTATATTGTGGTAGTTTCTATTGTTAGTTTTTGTGAATGTTTTTTGAGTTCTCTTGGCTGTTCTGATGTCTAATTTTCTTCTAGTTTCTTAAGCGTGTATTTGTTGGTTAGTTTTTAAAGAAATATTTGTTTTTATTCATTTATCTTTGATTTTGTTTAGAAGTAATATTTATGATATTTTATTAATTGTCTTATGTTTAGTTCTTTTGTTTTTTGGTATACCTACTTCTTCTGTAGGTGTTAGTATTTTATTTTGTTGTCTTTGTAGCATGTTTAAGTTTGTTCTGTTGTTATTACTCCATGTATTAATTAAATATATATTCCTTGATGAACATAATGCATGATATTTGGTGGTATTTTGTTTTTAAGTTTTAGGAGCGTGGTAATTGTTCTGGAGTTTTTTATAATAAACTGTAGTTAAGACTATAGTAAAACTTTAACTTAACGTTAAGGCATAGTAAAGACTTGCGATTGAGGCTTCTATCTACCGATTTTGAATTTTTAGACAACCAATATTACTTATGTTGCGATTTGCCACTGCGATATGCGATCGCAGTTCCCAATACTGCGATTTTGATTGCACCGGCATAGCATCAGCACAAATAGCTTACGGTGGTATATGGTCTACGATTCCTTTGTCAAATGGTAAAGTATACATACATACAGGGTATCCCAGGCTAAACGTGCGTCTATTCTATGCATCTATATATCTATACCGTAATTTTTTTATTACATACTTGATTTCTAATCTATTCGTGCCCGGTGGCGTAGAGGTACAGGCCCTCGTCTACCAATCTCAAGGTGTGGGTTCGATTCCCACACCCGGCATTTCATCAGCCGACTATTTTTATTAAAACAAAAGTAGTTTGGGTACCTAGCCACCTCGTACCTCGACTCAGCCTTAAATGAGTACTTGGGATTCACAATCCTGAGGTAATAATAGGCGGTTGAAGCGTAGTGCTAGCCACATTACCTTTCTTGTATACCGAAGGTCTCTAGTATAGCAAGCTGTACCTTGCTACTCCCAAGGCGTTAAACGCTATATACGGGAGCTATTATTATTACTTGATTTCTCTGTAAAATTTTATGAATCTTGATATCAGACACTCTATTATTAAACGATTTTGAGAAAAAATATTTAAAATTTTTGGAGGAAAAAAATTACCTGCCAAAAAATATGTATAGCCTAAACCGTGATTACCACAGCCACTGTCACATAAAGAGAAGGCATATGGGGCTATCTATTTCAAAAATTAAATTGTTTTATTGTTATATAATATTGGCTGTAACTGTTATGGTATTGGGAGATAAACAAATTATCACAAATCAATTTTTTTCAAAAAGAAAACCGTTTTTTTTACTTCACTAGTGAAAAGGTTTTTCAATTCGTTACTTTTTAATTATAAAACCTTTTCACTGGCGAAATAAAGAAAAGTAGGTTTCCATTTGAAAAAAAATGTAATTTTTGAAATAGATAAGCCACATGTCTTCTAATATCACAGTGACTGTGGTAATCACTAAATTTGACATTTAAGCTATATACATTTTTTTGACGAGTTTTTTCCTCTAAAAATTTTAAAGTTCCTGTCAAATTCTGGTATTTCCCGAAGAGTGTCACTATACTGAAAATATTTTTAATCGATAGATCTCATTGTGAAACAATGATGTGCAAAAAATCTCCGATCTAGATATAGTTCTCTAGAATCTTCTAATGCACACTGAACCTGGAACACACCGTATTTATCGACTTATTATGTATATTTATGGATTTATTATGTAAATATTGACATATATATATTTCTCATTAAAAGATAATTTACCCCACGTAGAGATTTTTTATTACACGAAAAAAACGATTTTTGACGTAATCATTACGAACGTTCCATCTAAGCGAGATTAATATACTTTTGAGCGCTCTACATATTTTTATCCTCTCGTTGAAAACATATTCTCGTAAAAATCCAGTTGACGCTCCAAGATTATATTATAAAAACAGCGGAAAAATATCATTATAATAGGTCGATGTAATCTCCGTATAATTTCCATTAAAAAGATAATACTACCGAATTTTTTTTTAAAATGTGTCATTTATGCGGATAATTCTTTGAAGTTATTTTTGTTTCTCCTAAATAAAACTATAATACGAAAATATATACATAGGTAGTAAGAAAAATATTACCCTGTTTTTACTGTTCTTCCTCTCAAAAATTTTAGATTCGTGCTTGGTAAAATTTTTAGTTTACGGCGTTTCTACACGCTTAAAAAGATTGGGTATTAAAAGATTTATGGATTTCTTCACTGATGTGAAACGGAGTTTGATGTGCATAGTTGATTCGCATTCAGGCAGAAAAATATAAATTTGCAGAAGTCGAACGATTGAAATAAGGATGTTACTGGTTTTCATTGAAATATACAGGGTGTCAAAAACTAGCATATCTAACTTCGATGGTTCATTCTACTGATAAAAATAAGATAAAAAGTTCCTATAAACGTACGCCTTAAAAACCTTCTCGAAGAAATTACAGCTCTCAAAAGGTTAAATAAAAATAACATATTTTGTTTATTTTTAAGAACATTCGTAGACCGTGTTTCTTGAAATTTGGTACTTTTACACTCATTTTAATGCCAAAGCGAATGGCGATAGTGTAGAATTCCGTTGGTCCTTTTTTTTGTTATAGAGTAATTTCAACAGATGAAATAAAAAGCTAGATTTTTTTACATAAAAAGGTGCTCCTCTTTTAGTTCAAAACGGTGAACGGGTTTCCTGATATTTGCGTTTAAAGATTACGATACATCGATTTTAGTATTATTGAAATGATAGAATATAAAGAAATTTTAAATAAATTAATCTCCTGATACTACTAATGCTAAAATCGATGCATCGTAACCTATAAATGTAAATATCTTGAAAACCGCTCACTGTTTCGAACTAAACGACGAGCTCCTTTTATGCGTTTAAATGTCCTAGCTTTAATTTTCATTTGTTGAAACAAAAAAAAACTATATCTATCTATAAGGATAAAAGAAGCATTCCCATCTTCTTCTTTACGTGCCGTCTCTTTCATGGAGGTTGGCGATCACATTGGGAAAATCTTCACGATTCTCGGCTTTCCTTATGAGTTCTTCAAAAGTTAGGTGAGTCCAATGTTCCCCAACCAAGATAGTTTCTTCCTGCCGAGACCTCTTTTTCCTTCAATTTTATCCTTAACTATTAATTGTAAGACGTGGTATTTTTCATTTCTCTCATATATGCCCTAAGTACGATATTTTTCTTATTTTTATTATATTGAGCAATTCTCTTTCTCTGTCTATTCTGTTATAAACTTCGGTATTTGTGATATCGGCTGTCCATGGAATTTTAAGCATTCTTCGATATATCCATATTTCGAACGATTCGATTGAACTCTCTTGAACTTTCAGCGCCCATGTTTCTGCTCCGTATAATAGGTTTGACCAAACATAACAACTGACGAGCCTAGTTCTCAACTCAAGGTCCAATCTGGGGTTCTGGAAAACGTTCTTCTTTTTTAAAAATGCATTTCTCGCTTGTTCTATTCTGGTTTTTATTTCCACGTCGTTGTTCAAGGTGTTAACTACCCAGAACCCCAAATATTTGAACTTGTAGACCTGTTTTAAGGTATTGCCCTCTATTTTAATAGGAATTGGTACATTTTGGTTCTTTTCAAATACGTTGAGTTTGGTCTTAGAGGAATTGATCTTCAACCAGTATTTCTTACAGGAGCCCTCAAGTCGCTCCACTAAACTCTGGGGTCCAGTATCAGAGCCGGCAATAGGAACTGTGTCATCGGCAAATCTATGTTGTTAATGATTTCGCCGTTGACTTTAATACCGAAATCTGTTGAAGAGAAAGCTTCCCGAAAAATTGCCTCAGAATAAACATTAAACAACGAAGGAGACAGCAAACATCCCTGTCTTACCCCTCTCTGTATATTGACTGGATTGGAATTGTCAAGTACAATTGGAGTTGTCAAAGTAGTCGGTTTATGAATGTTCTTAAAAATGAACAAAGTATATTATTTTTATTTAACTTTTCGAGGGCTGTAACATATGTTTATAATAACTTTTTGTTTTATTTTTATCTGCAGAATCACTCCCCAAAGTTAGACATGTAACTGTTAATTTTCCAAATTACGTACGGATCCTGTAAATATTTTCAAACTTTCTCTACCTCCCTTATCGTTATCTTTTTTGCTATCAACCACCCAGAACCAATTAATTAACTTGATTAACTTGGTTGCGAAGGTAATGTCTTGGACATAATCAGATGAAAGTCACGTTCGTTTAAGCACGGAGAAGCGAAAAGAATAAAAAACAAGAGAAAAAATAAGGACGTAATTAAAAACCCATTTAAAACAACTTTCGACGATGTAGCAAAGTAACATCTTTTCTAAGCAAATTAGTTCCTTTTTATAAAAGCTAACTTGCGATTAATTCTTACACAAGATATCTCCTATTTTTTATACGCGTCATTACCAGCTGACAAGAAAAAATTAAAATAATAAATAAGTTTACTTCAGTTCTTATTAATTATATTACATTACATGATATTTCTCTGAAGCAGCTGAGTCTATTTTTTACGGGCATTTTTTTTTAACTTGCCGTGTTAAACTATATAAAGCATTAAAGGTA